TCCCAACAGCCTCTGCAAAACTGCTTGAGCAGCTGCTGGCCGGCATCACTGGGGGAAATTCCATTCCTCTGAATAACTTGGTTTAACAAGGTGTATAACCTTTGAAAATAATCGGAAGGTTTTTCACCACTATCCTGGTTTGTGTTTAAGAAGCGAGCAAAGAGCTCGTTGCCGTCTTCAACAGTTGCGTAAGCTGAATCGAGATGTTCAAGGTACGTTTCCGGGTTGGATTTTGGACTAAGAGCTTTAACGATGCTCGCTGCTGGGGCTGACAGACTCTCCACGATTCTTCATACAATTTGGGACTTGGTGAGTGAAGGATCATTTATACATAACACTACACTACTACGCCAAGTATCATAGTCGGTTTCAAAAGAAGGGTGTGGAACTCGCCCTGAGAATGGTTTTAGTCTGTATTGTTAACTAGGCGGAGGGATAACCTCACTGCTTTTAACAATATGTTTCACAATAACTCGCTGAACCTCAGATGTGTTTAAAAGATTTGGTGGAATGCAAGGGTTTTGTTTTCCAGTCTCTGTAGGTGGACAATTGTCCTTTTAGTTGTTCAAATAGTTAACTTCTGGTGTTAAAGGCAGGAATATGTAACTTGGTCACTATGGAGCATTGGCTCTGGTTCAGTGACTGGTTCAGATGCATGGGTATCCCTTCCCAAAGATTCCCCAATTTTTGCCAGTTCCTCCATTAGAAGGTCTTTAAGTGATTGATTGCTACGCGCAGCTACATCCCTGAGCTCTGAAAGATAGGCATCAGTGGCAGATGTGCGGGTTTCTAGACTGTACGTGCTAGCTAGGTCTTGAATATGAAAGAAAACATCTGGGTTCCTAGTACAAGGTTTGTCATAGGGCAGGGGTGTCAAACTCATTTTAGCTCAGGGGCCACATGGAGGGAAATCTAGTCCCAAGTGGGCCGGACCGGTAAATTAAAAACAACTGCAGATTGTTTTCTTTGTTTTAATACATCAATATAACACAAGGCTGGAGCCTGAGGAGAGTGTATCCAAAATAGAACAAGTACAACACCTGAAGTGTACTTGAAAATTTGAAAAAAAAAAAAAAAAACATTCCTTAGTGATTCAAAGAGCTTACAGATCACATGGCTAGATCAGTTTCATGCAGCACTTAAAATATATTTGACTCATTTTACTTTACATCTTTTAGCTTTAACCAGCACATCAATATCAGAAGTCACATCCTGGGTGGCGGCCAACTTCAGGATGTGATTCAAGTTCTTGTGTGAGCCTTGAGCGCAGCTTTGTTTTATTTATACTCATTACAGAGAAAACTTGCTCACAAAGATAAGTTTATTTTCACTCTACATTGTAAAGTATGAAAATAAAGTTTACACAACCGTCTCGCGGGCCGGATTTAACCCGCTTGCGGGCCGGATCCGGCCCGCGGGCCGCATGTTTGACACCCCTGTCATAGGGTAAACATTGTTTCTCTAATTCCTTAACAGTGGCTTCACGTTGAAACTCCACAATAATCTGATCACAGTTTGGTAACTTAATGCGCCTATGAACTGGTCCGAATCCTTCCATAAACTCAAAGACTTCGTTATCAAGGTCTGTATCAGTTAACCCACTGATTAAAACAGCATTTGAAACCTTGACCTTTTCTGATTTCACAACTTCCATTTTGAAACCCTCAAAAGTACCAATAATGCCAAAATGGCAGATCTCTGTGACCTCCAGGCACTCTTATGATGTCAGTCAATGGTTAGCTAAGGTAACAACTCTACAATTCTCCTGGCTGGCTCGCCAAGTTTTATGTAACCGGATTACAGGATACAATACGATAATTAAAAGAAAAAATTAAACAAATGGGCCAATAATTAGGTTCGGGGAGAATTGAAGGTTGTTTAAGAATGACTGGAGTCACGGGTATAGTATGAAACGGTTTGTATACCAAAATTTTAATAACAATAGGAAATATAACACATAAAGATGACAAATAAAAACAGAAGAAATAAATTGACAATAGTATAATGGTCGGTATGAGATTTGATGATATGAGTCATAAGTCAGCCGGCGTCAAGTCAAATCCCCACGATTGGGGTGAAAGTCAGAGTCCAGTGGTGCAATTTTTTCCTACTGCACTATTGAGATTGTTCACAGAAGAAAGCAGTCTGCTCTTCAGTTACTTGAGATGTCCTGGTTCGTTCAGTGGTTAAGGCTCGCCATCTCCCTAGTCAGGAAGAAATCCAGTTCTCGTTCCAAGTGAGTGATCATAGAAGTCGGGATGAAACCCAAGGGGAAAAAAACCCAGCCAACGCGCTCCAAGGGTTCCCTCCTACAGAGGATTGGTTCACTCTGTCGTCTCCACACAAATCGCGTTGGTTCCAAGTTCCCAGTTCTTATTAGAAGGGGTCGAGTCTGCCTCTCCCTCTATCTACGCGGCCCCCAAATCAGGGTCCTTCACGGCCTCGACCGTTGTTTTTTTTCTCTCTCTCTCTGCTCACTAAACGCTAGGTCTTTGCTTTCTGTATCTGCGTTGCTGCACAGCCGTTTGTTTCTCCTTTCGCTCCGCTGCGTCGAACGGTTTTATTTCGGAGGCAGGAGTTATTTCTCTCAGCCAATGAAATTTCAGATTCCCACCTGGACCAATAGTACACAGCTTTCCTCTTCTGTTTTTTGTTAGTAATGTTCAAGATTCTTGCTTTAACCGATGTTTAATATTAAATTTGTTATTTTAGTTATTTCACCCTTCCAATAATTCATCATAAAATTATTATCTATTAGTTATTTAGATATCTATTAATTAGTATTTATAATTTCCTTAATTTATATTTTATATTTTATTTAAATTGAGGATGGATCATATTAGTAAGCAAATTAGTTAATACCTCATTAAGGTTCTAGCTTCTGGGTTACATCTACTTTATACATTAGCTGTGCTGTTTGAACTTTATATCTGGAAATTTTAAGATTTGTGATTTTAAAAATAATGTGTCTGATCTCTGTAACGAGTGTTATAAATGATCCTTAGAGCCCTTTTTTGTAACACAGGTAATGATGATAATGCACATTTATAAGTGTTTCCCCAAACCTCTGTACAGTAATGTAAATATGTTCAAATAAGTGAACAGTATAGAATGTGGAGTGACTTTTGGTCCAGAACGTGTTTGACTTTATTTAATATTGAGAAGCTTCTTGAGGTTTTATTGTTTATTTTAATGTGAGCTTTCCAGCTGATTCTATTGTCTATTATTACACCAAGAAATCTGATCTCCTTTACTCTTTCAATTATCACACCATCAATTTGGATTTGTTCTTGTAAATTTAGGCTGCTGTTCCCAAACAAAATGATTTTAGTTTTATTCAAGTTAAGTGATAATTCCATTCAAACCATTATTTTATTTTTTGTAGTTCTGAGTTGAGCGTATGTTGGAGTTCCTTAAAATTATCCCCAGGACAGAAAATATTTGTATCATCTGCAAATAAAATTAACTTTAATGATTGTGACACCTTTCAGATGTCATTAATATAAAGAATGAACAGTTTTGGACCAAGCACTGACCCCTGGGGAACACCACAAACAATGTCCAAGCACGATGAGTTGATTCCATCCAACTTCACAAACTGCTTCCTGTCAGTCAAATAATTCCTGATCCAGTATAGTGCCACCCCCGATTCCAAAGCGTTCCAGTTTATTTAGTAGGATGTTATCATTGATTTTCTAATTATCTTCGTGCCATTTTTCTTTAATAGTTTATATCCATTAAACATATACTACAATTCTTGCTTTACTTTAATTAAAGGGACTTTAAGGAGTTTTGAATTTTTATGCTCGCGATTGCCCCCTCAGGCCAAAAGCATAACGGCAGCTTCAAGAGTAGGCTCGTGCATGAGGCGCGCATGCTGTACATGCACATTCAACGAAAATAACAGCTGAGACAGTCCAGTGTGTGTGTGTGTGTGTGTGTGTGTGTGTGTGTGTGTGTGTGTGTGTGTGTGTGTGTGTGTGTGTGTGTGTGTGTGGCCCGGAGGACAGAGGACAGGAGAACACGCAGCTAATTAATTAAATAATTTGGTTCTGTACCAGCACAGCCGACAAAGGTTTATGATGGGTCAGTCTCCCTGCATGCTCAGATCATGCCCTTCCCTTGCTTGAAAAATTGGTCCAAAATGAAAGTTGAACCCACATCTTTTTTTATCTGTGAATTCAATGCCGTTCGACGAGTCTCAAATAAAAATGTTGGCATCTTACTGTAAAAAAAAATACCAGCAATGTAAAAAATAAACTAATTAAATTATGTTCACATCCAGAATCAAACCCAGGTCTTCCGCACCGGAGTCTGCCGTCTTACTGGATGAGCTATAGCACCAGTGACATCTTTTGTATCTGTAATATTTATATTCCTGATGACAGCTGAAACAACGTTCAAAGAACGGTTCGGAGCGAAAATGGCTATTTTGTTGCTAATTTGCAGGAAATATCTAGAAGAAAGTAGCTAAGCGTCCTCAGAAATGTAGCTAGGTTCATCACTAGGCGTTAGGAACAGTGACAAAGTCGCTGAGTTGGCACTACCTCACTCTCTCACCTGCTAAAGCTACTGATGGCAAATGCTACGGGCTATGCCTGAGAGTGAACGCGCATGAAGCAGCCTGCTCGACCCGAGCAGCTAAATTTTTCTGTGATTTTACAGAAAAATAGGCAATCACAGTAAAAATGCCAGGGCTCATTCTACAGGACCAGGGCATTGCATGAGAATGTATGAAGAAGAAATTTATTATTTCTGTACATGTTTTGGCTGTCAAACTTCCATAATGCCCCTTTGATTAGAAAAGATCGATCGCAAAGATTTGATCCCAAATACTATGCACTAAAACAAAGCAATTAAGTTAATGACCTATCTGATAATCTTGTATTGTTCAAATATATCATCAGTTCGAAATAAATAAATGGTCATGAGCATTTCTTTGTTATGATTCTACATTGTTTTGTGTTAAACTGATGAGGTAAGGATGGTACAGCACAAACCTCGAAATCTCATGAAAGATGATCCTTTAGAGACAGGAAACACCCAAAGGAAGAAGAGAAAAGAAAGCATTACATTACAACTGGTTTCATAGTTTTGTGTTACAAATACCAATGTCAGAGCCACAATTAGTTTATTTTGATAAATATCAGTATTATAGACTGATAACTTTCTTCAGACCTTCACAATAAAAGGCTTTAACCCCTTATAGGGCCAACATCTTAGACACTTCCACTGCCTTTGCACAAACTCTTAGAATTACAGTATTTCATCCCACCAATCATCAGACACCACGCTAGTCACAGTTTGCGCCTTAGTTCTGGTCAACCAATCAGCGCAGGGCTAAGATGGGCCAAATACGGGTGTGTGTGTGTGTGTGTGTGTGTGTGTGTGTGTGTGTGTGTGTGTGTGTGTGTGTGTGTGTGTGTGTGTGTGTGTGTGTGTGTGTGTGTGTGTGTGTGTGTGTGTGTGAAAAAACAGAAAACTGCCTTCCAATGGGAGAGGACAAGGAAAATGAAAGATGCTGATGTCAGAGGGCCCATCTAATATTGCTGCATCCCAGGCAAGTTTGTCAGATGACCTGGATTAGGTGTTTTCCTCAAAAACCTCACAGATGCGGTTCACTCATTTAATCAGTGCATTTGCAGTGGTCTCTAGTAGGAACAAATACCTTGTGAGTCACACTCTGGGGAAACAAAGCACTGGTGCACAATTTTCAGGATCTAAAAGATTGCCAGATACGAGGATAGCTTCAGACTACATGATTTGGAGTCTTACTTCTGCTGTGTAGTGGAGATGCTAATGCTAACAGTTAGCCTCTACTAGCAAAGACGTTATCTGGTGCTTCGCTAAAACTAGAGCCCTAGAAGATGTTCAGTCATGAAAATTTAATATTAAGTTACAGTGTGATGTAATTCAGTTAGTATGAAAAACTCAGGAGTGGCCAATTATAATCAGAATTTAAAAAAATGTTGGTGAACCACACCTTTAAAACCTCTGAGTCATATAAAAGTATCACACTACGACACAAGTGTGATTCCCTCCATTACGCCTGTTAAACTATGAGGTGCAGCAAACTCATAGGTAAAAGCAAAACATCGCATGATTAACAACAATATGGTTATTCTGTAAAAACATTAAATGCTACATTCTTGTGTAAAAGAACCCTTCCATCCAAATGCATAAACAAACAAAGACATAAACAATGCATGTTCATTGTATTGATTACAAGACCTGTTTCTTTACATTTTGAACCCCATTAGCTTTTTCACAACTACCTGGGAGCAGCTAAATCTATGAATCAAAATTCCTAAGTACTGCCCCTGAGAGTTTATTAAATAAATAAAAAAGACTTTGTCACTTCATGGTGTGATAAGTTATTTAGCATTTCACTTACGACCTGGTCGTGCAGCACAAGCCATAGCCATGACGGGAGCTGGTCCATGAGACAATGAAAAACACCCAAAAGAAGAATAGAGGGGAAAGATATTAATTTCAGCAACTTGTTTTGAGTGTTTTAATTTTTTTTTTTACTATGAATCTTTTAAAAATTAAAATTATTGATCAAAAACTGAGTCACACATGAAAATTTCTTCTTAAAGCCAAATTCAATATTGGAAAAAGCCGTTAAAGCTAGACACACTTTTAGAAAACAATTCAAAGGTCCGGTGAAAAGCCTTTCATGCAATAAAGTTACCTACAGCATAAATGTTCCAGAAAATAACCTCCTTCAGTGCCTTTAGCGTTCAGGAATATGTTCAGGTACATCGAGCTATATCTGACATGGGATGGACTTTCAAAAACTAAAAGATGTCAGATCTGTGCAGACTTGGGTGCTGTGATTAGCCTAGTCATTATGCACTGCTCAGACAAAAATTAAAGAAACTGTTTGAATGACTCTAAACCTGCCATACTGACAAAGTTGCTGGCAGCACAATGTTCACCTCTGCTTCTCCAGACCTTTTTAAGTCTGGTCCATGTGGCACTTACACACTAGCATCGGCTCCACTCCACTACGCCCGCATGCTCCAGTCTGGCCGTGTTCATTCCACACTGACTTAGGAATGCAGATGTGACTGAACACATGGGCGGTCTGTGACATGTGATGTCACGAGTGCATCTCCGAGCACAAGGGCGGGGCAAAAGAGAACAGAGAAGTCATTATTAAACAAAAGCAGCCTGAGCATTCTTGCTTTTGGAGACTCTGACTCAGGCTGTTTCCTGCTTTGCTGTGTCTGGCAGCACGGTGTGTGTGTGCTCCTCACAGCAGTGAGAGACAGGGAAAAACGGCTCCCTGAATGAGAACACCGCAAACCTGGTCCAGGCGGAGTGGAGCTGATGCTAGTGTGAAAGTACCAAGAGTAAATCTGTGAAAAGAATATTAACTAGTGTCTCAGCTGCCGATTCTAGTATTATCTAGACAGAGCCAGTTGGGCTCCAGAATGCTGAGCAGTTAGTATAAGGCACAGCAGAGGACAGTAGGACCCAAGGCCACGCTCATGGAGTGTTTCCAAAGATTTGGTCAGAGAAACTCACTAAAGTCTTTTTGAAGGGCCCTGACCGTACTTTCCATCCTACTTGCATAATGGAACAGATATTGCTTTTCCTAATGGGTTAAGGACCTTCAACAGCCCTGTCCAACTCTTCTTGAATGCCTTCATTTGTGCGGGAATCTCTTTCTTGCTCTTGAGACAGTGCTGGGGACATAGAAAACTTTCTGGCAGTGGCACATATTGATGCAATCCTGATCGGGCAAGATGGATAGTTATACCTCTGTAGGGTCTTATAATATAAAGGAGTTTGTGATTTTGGGCAAGACACTTAACCCACATTGCCTGCTGGTGGTCAGAGAGACTGGTGGCACCTGCGTTTGGCAGCCTCACTTCTGTCAGTGTGCCCCAGGACAGCTGTAGCTACAGTGTAGCTCATCACCACCAACATATGAATGTTTGTGAATGGGTGAATCACTGTGTTGTAAAACACCTTGGGGGGGGGGGGGGGTTCTAGGACTCTAGAAGGAGCTATATCAATTACAAGCCATTTACTGGCCAGATACATTTCAACAACTTGAATTTATTATTTATTTATTTTTTAACTCACTAAATGTCATTGCCTGGCCAGCCATCCCCATGCTTCCTCATGGGAAGATTATAGTTCTCTGTGTTGAATTAAACAGAGGACGAGTCTGGCAGGCCAGGCTGTAAATGTGTAGCCAGAACCCAATAATGTTGCATTCTCATGATCGTCTCTTTATGGATACTGCAAATAGATCATTTACAATTATGTGGTGCATCTGTGGAGCCATGTGTAAAAAGTGCCACCATGGCTCGTCTTTCAGATCAATCTTGCAGCTGAACTTAGATGAGAAAAACCCATAAACACCTGAGAAGTAAATATCTGAAATCAAGCATGACCTTGGTGAGTTGGGTTCTTCTGACCAGCTGAGCCCATGAAACCTGTGTTATCCTTGACTCTGACATCATTCACATAAGAAGTAACTGACACTGATAAGTATCTTCAAAACTCACACCACAGAGGTATAGGCTTAGTGTTTTACTTACGGCCTGACATTGCAAAACAAGCCATGGGCACTGGTCCACAAGAGAGTGTTGAAAAAATCCAGAGGAAGAAGAGAGAAGAAAACAATACATTAGTTTTAGTAACCCACTCTGTCAGAACCAAAATAAGTACATTCCAAAGATAAAATCAGATGTGTACAGTTTCCAATCAAAGTTCTGAACCATGTTTAAGCATTTTTAGCTATAGCTGACATAGTATGGTCCTTGATGCTTAGAAGAGGCTGTCATTCCTCATCTTTTACACAAACATCAATGCAAAACGAGCCCCAGGTTGATGTTGTGTCCAAGAGCCATATTAAACCTTGGTTTGAATGAAGTATATAAAAACTTGCTAACTAACATTTAATATTTTGTCTAAAACCATCTATTAACTTTCAGATAGTTGGACTGTTGTTTAATGTCTACCAGCTAACAAAAACAAAATAAATGCATTCATTATTAGACTATAGCTCAATTTTTAACTGAACCCAATAGCTGCACTGCAAATCCTTTAACTTCTGTTTTCCAACATCTGACATTCCTTCCCTCTGTAACCAAACTTGGTAAAGCTGTAATGTCTTCACTCTGAAGACATTCAGTGGGCACAGAAAGTATTCAGACCCCCATCAATTTTTCACTCTGCCATCCATCAATTTTCAACCGCTTATCCGGAGTCGGGTTGCGGGGGCAGCAGCCTAAGCCAAGAGGCCCAGACTTCTCTCTCCCCAGCTACTTGGGCCAGCTCCTCCAGGGGAATCCCAAGGCATCCCATGGCCAGCTGAAACAGTCCTCCCAGCGTGTCCTGGGTCTTCCCTTGGGTCTTCTGCCAGTTGGACGTGCCTGGAACACCTCACCAGGGAAATGTCCAGGAGACATCCTAACCAGATGCCTGAGCCATGTCAACTGGCTCCTCTTGATGTGGAGGAGCAGCGGGTCTACTCCAAGCCCCTCCCGGATAACCGAGCTTCTCATCCTATCTCTAAGGGAGAGCCCAGCCACCCTGCAGAGAAAACTAAATTTTTATCCACTAACTACAGAGAAGTGTTGTTGAAAGGAGAAGCATCTCCTCCACTCATAGTGTTACTCGGGATCAGTCACGTGACCCGCAGTGGACATTTTAATACTTTTCTGATATCCTCCCGAATGTTTCCACTCAGTCACAAAGAGGTCCAGAGTCCTGGCACCCAGCCTATGGCGTCTAGCCTAGTGAACTAGACCAAATTCTTGCTTTGCAAAGTTTGGTCTAGGAATGCTCCAATGGAACCTCCGCAGCACCTAGCAGCATTCTGGCTGGCCAATCACAGCTCTCTATAGGGTTTCAATCCTATAGGGAGCCTAAGTCACTTCCGCACCATGGGTCCACGGAAGAATGAAAAAGTGAATGCATGTCAATGGTGCTAAAACGCTATTTTCTAATCCTGCTTGTTTTTTGCCATGGATTTCACATATGATGTCTGTGAATTTTAAAGACGCATTTTGATACCAAGAATGGGCTTATTTTCGAATTGGGGGGGGGGGGGGAACGGATGATATTTTAGGTTGTGTGTGAAAATAAGTCCAGAACAAATGTGCTTCATGAAAGTGATGTCATCGAACCAGACATGGAGAAAACTGAGGGAAAATGGCTGTATGTTCAGTGAACTTCCCACAGGAGGAAAGAACCACCATAAATCTGGCCATTTGGTAAGTAGCAGCTACTCTGGGGAGAGGATATTTTGTGGCGACGTCACATATGCGACGTGCCAATTTCTAGTTTGTAGTCATGCTAATTACGAACTAGCTAATAAATCTCAAAGTACGTGACTGGCGAAGTCGAAACACCCATCAATACTTTTCATTTAAATTGCAGTACAACACATGTGTGATCCAGGGAGTAAGGCAAAGTGGTTTAGAAAATAACTTTTAGCCTCGTTAACTTGCATTTATTTTTTCGTTCTTCCGGGAAACCATGATACGGAAGTGACTTAGGCTCCCTATGGTGGACCAATCACAGCGCTCTATCTGCTTTGTGGACACAGCACTTTATCTGCTTTTTGGCCCAATATTCCTCTGGTGGGTGGGATGATGCAACAGAGTGGAACAAGATGGCGACAGCTCATTTGAAATGGCTTTTACATCAATTTTGCACTATTTGGACTTGGGCTTTATTAGAATCGAGAGCAAATAGATGCATTTAAATTTTTTATTTAGAAAAAAAAAAGGATGTATTTTTGCCTTCTTCAACAGCGGACTGCCTCGTTTACCGACATCCAGTGTGGTGAGTACGTCACGTTCATTGTCCAGTAGCATGTGGAGATCGGTTGAAAGACAACGGTAGAACCCGCCCCACGACCGAGAGCCGTCAATGGAGCGTTGTCAGACTACACAATAGATTAATTTTGCCTGGCTTGCCAGGCTACAAGGCATCAGTCAACCTTTCTCAGGGTCTGCTGAGATTTTCCGCATTTCTCCTCTGCTAGAGGTCTATGTGGTGTTTACCGTTTTGTATCAATGCTGTAGCGCCAGAGCTGAACACGTCACGTGTTCGGAGTATTTTGACCCGAAGCTGAACTGCATTCTTAATTATTGGTTCCACCACTCTTTATTTGTGCTACGTTATTTACTATAAAGGATTGTGGTTGACAAAACATTTACAGTACAAATAATTTACATACAGAACTAATTTTAAGACCCAGTTGTAATAAATCTAAACTTTTTCAAGACTTTCTAAGGTATTATTTCCTGATTCCTAAATTCAATGCATTTAAGACTTTTGAAGACCCCGTGGGAACACTGATTAATGAGGGAAAAATAGGAATTTCATTAACTTTAGCAAATGGCTGCAATATAGCAAAGTGTGAATAATTGACAGGGGTCTGAATATTTACCGTACCCACTGTAGATAGCTACACAGAGTGATGTGGATACATTTTCCAGGCCTCATGTCCCACATAAAGTGTTTTATCACCAACATACACATGAACATTTCCCAACCCTTCTGGTAGATAAAGAACTCTGGCAATCATTTGTGTACAGGAAAGAACCAGGAACACAACCTTGGGAGGCTCTGGTGTTGTTATGGAGTCGGTTTTTCCACTTTCTTGCCTTTTATTTTGGTCTGATGATTTTATTCTTGATGTGCTGAGTATTTGAGTGTAGCCCAATCCTTTTTCTTTTCTTTTGGGAACGTGTTTAATATTAGGTTGCCCAGCGTTTGGAGTTTGTTCATTTAGAATTTCATTTACGAGTGCCAGCACCGAGTTGTTGTGTCCATGATGTTATGAGCATGACTGAAGAGTTTGTATGATTCTTTCAATGCAAACAATTGGTAGGATGACAAATGAGATACAGACGTAGACATAGTCAATGGTGACATACACTCTGCATTAATGTCAGTACAGACATGCCAGCAGTAGAGTGAGATGTGGCTCCATGAAACACAGAGTGTTGTCACAGCAGAGCATGTGCTGAAATAGGGTCTATAGTTTAAAAGGTTATAGTTTCATTTAAAAAAGAAGAAATAACTCACAACGTACTAAAAATACAACCCATAAAAACAAAAAAATTACTCACTTCCGTAGAAAGGAGTTGGAACATTTCTGCGCACCAGAGGTCCTTGAACTGACTTGCCGTTGTCTTTATTAACAGCAATGAAAGCAGTGAAAGAACTGCTCACTCCTGATTGGACGCTGAGCTCCACCGCCTTCTTCTGCGCTTCTCCATACCGTGGATCTCCATATGGTGCCTGCTCTAACTCCAGAGAGCGAATTACAGTACGAGCAGCCAGCCTGTGGACTGTTAATCTGTAGAAAGGAGGGAGAAACGTACTGAGCCACAAGGACCATGGGCAGCCCCATCTCCTGCTCCCTGGAGCCAGAACTATGAAAGAGCCACACAGGTTTTGGGCTGCTACCCCAACTCCTCCCTCCATCCCCAGCTGCTCTCAAGTCCTCATCACCACCCAAGAGCCTTTAAAAGAGATGGTGGCAGAGGCACAAGTGGAGGTGGAGAACAAAGATCCGTGTTGCTGTTTCTCCACTCCCAAGAACTTGTCTGTTCAACAGAACTTTGAGTTAAGTGATAAGGTGCACCTCTTTTAGGTAAATTGATCAAAAAAATTCTAAACCAAATCCCAATTGCGTTACCAGACACCTCACCACCACAGTTTAAAAAATCCTAGAGCAGGGTTTCTCAACCCTGGTCCTCAGCGCCCCCCCTGTCCTACATGTTTTCCATGTTGCCCTTTCAAACACCAGTGTTTCTCCACTGCCACACACTTGACTTAAAGAGCAAGTAACGCCTAAATAGACTTTTTTTTGCTGATAACCTGTATAGATAAGAGGGGGTTTGGAGATAAGAGGGGGGGGGGGGGGGGGGTGCAATCTATCCCTGCCTCAGTGCTGCTCTCTCGGTCCGCCAGGTGACGCCTCTTTAAGAAGCGTTAGACTAACAGGAAGTGTGGATGAAATACATCTCTACCCATGCATTGACTCTCACTTTAAATTAATGACGGATTAACAGGCTTCTGCAGCACTTGATTTCCTCCAGAGGAAGCTATTCAAATATGTAATCAGGTGCTTGAAGCACATTGAAAACATGCAGGACAAAGGGGCACTGAGGAAACCCTTAACAGATATTTTCCAATATTAAATTTTAATTATGATATTAATGTTAGACCTATAATATCTTACATCTCTAATAACTGCAAATGTCACTTAAAGCAGCAATGCCTAACTTTACCCCCTTTCAGAATTATGTATATGATTTTTTTAATCCATAAAAGTGATGGTATTACCTAGTACTGTGATACAATAGGGAGCCCAAGTCTCCCCCATTTCCGGTCGGCTCATGAGTCCCCAGAAGAATGAAAAAAAATGGGGCTAAAAACTATTTTCTAATCCGCCTTGCCTTACACCCTGGATTGCACATATGTTGTACTGCAATTCAAATGAAAACTAATGATGGGTGTTTCAACCACGCCAGTCATGTCCTTTGTGATTTATCAGCTTGTAAAAGTTCGTGATAAGCATGACTACAAATCAGACATCGGTACATTGCATATATGACGTCAGCACATAATCCCCTCTCCCCTAGTGTAGCTGCTAAGTACCACATGGCCAGACTGAAGGTGGTTCTTTCCTCTAAACACATAACGGTGGTACAAGTATTCCATATAACTCCTTTTCTTAAATAAAAGTGATGTAAATCATCACTTCTACCCTGGAAGAAAATGCTTTGATTTGTTAAAATCCAGCTTCCACCTATGTGAATTCTACCCATTTCATAATGTGACCTAGCCAAGCAAAGCAGCTTTCACAACACACCAGCAGAGGTGAACTGACAACAAATGTGTCCCCACAGATGCATCCAGAAATAATGGAAGACGGGTGATTGAATGCAAATTGATGGTTCTACGACTTCTGAGGTTTGGTAGATCCTCATCACAATATAATCCTTAATCTTATATCATCAGATCACATTGCCCTACTTCTAAGTGAATCCCAACAGCAATAACAGGTAACTTTTCATTTTAATGACAAACTAAGTTTTACCCAGTGTCCTCAGCAAGTTTGAGACCGAAGTTCAGCTGGTTCTGAGAAGGATGGCCTGCCAGGCTGTACTTCACGGTCACAGAGCCTTCTGAGGCAGCTGGACTCTGAAATAAATATACAACAAAAAATATAGTCAGTGTATGTGTCTACACATTAGATCATGCATGTAACTGTCATCGGTGAGGAGAGCATATAAATGGAGAGGACAGTGACACCGCCATTAGCGGCTAGCTCTGGTGAAGATCGCAGTGATCAAAACTTTTAGCAAGGTAAAAATATATACTAACTAGAGGTGGGCCTCGATTAAAAATAATTAGAGGCTTTGTAATTAATTAATATTAATTAATCACATTTTAATCGATCGGAAAAATGTGCCCTCAAAGCTATTTTTTTATGAAAAATGAGGCAGAGAATCAAACATTAGACATGGTTATTATTACTGTAAACTAGGGCTGGGCAATCAATCGAAAATGTATTGTTAATGTTTCTGACTCTTATCGTGATAATCTTTCCCATGTCAATAAATTTAATGGTACAAAAATAAAAACATGTGTGTAGGTTGGAAACGTTCATGTCCCTTTAAGAAGCTGTACCACCTTGAGTCACCTAAAAATGTGACTCAACATATTACAAGAGACAGCCCCATCTAGTGGACAACTTTTGTTTCGTTGCATACCGGTAGTTATCGTCCATTTATCGTTGGAGCTGAAATCCTCAATATATTGTGATATTAATTTTAGGCCATATCGCCCAGCCCTACTGTAAACTAAAACTTTTTAATTTCTAAAAAAAATGCATTTAACATTTCTACTCACCATGTAGTAAAAACATATATACGTATAAAAATCCAGAGCAGGTGTGACATATTCTGAGAATGATCATGAACACTAAGTGGTTCCAGTTGGTCCGCCCATCTGCCCTTTTAACTCCCGATCAACTGATGACCGCTTCAGCACACCTCGCTGATTAATGATAGTAACGCATTCGATGTTTAGACAGTCACTCGTCTCAGAAACATAATAAACCAACAGAAATGTTTAGAAAATTATCAGAAAGATTTTAGGTTGTTTCTAAGACTTTGACACATTGTTTGTGACTGTTTACAGAGCAGTGAGGACGCGGAGCATTTTCCCAGCTGCAGCCAGTTGTCTCTCATTTGTCTGACTACTTTCGTTAACGGAAGTTACGGTGTAACTATGGTTCTGTGAGTTCCTGGATGACTGCCAGTGGCAGAAAACAGAGTGGATGTATCTCCTCGCGCTCTGCGAAGGTCGAGTACTAATGTAAACAAAGTCACGCACGTGACACGTAGCGCACCTGGTCGCGAGTCTATAAATTACGCGCCACGTTCGGGTCTCCCGAGATCTTCTCGCCCGAGAAGTTCCGAGTGACCCCTGTGACTGGCAGTCATCCAGGAACTCACAGAACCATAGTTACACCGTAACTTCCATTCTGTTTCGTTCCCTCCTGACTGCCAGTGGCAGTTAACAGAGTGGATGACTTATGTCAGCAGTGTCACGGGGAACATAAAACTCACCGTCACTCAGGAAGTAGCCGCCAGAGGCAGCACCGCCGAAGCGAGCGTGGACCCGTGGCCAACGTTGAGGCGGTAGAAGCGTGCAAACGTGCAAGGAGTTGCCCAGGACGCCGCAGCACAGACGTCCGCCAGTGGCACACCTCTCATCGCTGCCCAGGATGTAGCAACACTCCTGGTGGAATGGCACACGATCCCAGGGGGAGCCACTGCACCCACTGCCGCATAAGCCATAGCAATGGCATCCACGACCCAATGCGACAGCCTCTGCTTCGAAAGGGCCCGACCCCTGTTCACTCCTCTGTGACAGACAAACAGCTGGTTCGACTGCCGGACAGTGTTTGTGGCCACAATATAGAGCTGCAGTGCCCGGACCGGGCACAGCAAATTCGCCCGCCGTTGTTCCTCCGAATGAAATGGGGGAGGGAAATACGGCCCCAGCTCGATTGCAGCATTCACGTAGTCAGAGGGTAGAACCTTGGGAAGAAAGGCAACGTTGGGCCACAGCGTCACCCCCGACCCATCTGCCTTCCACCGCAGGCAGGCGGGGCTGATGTCCAGTGCGTGCAGCTCACTGACCCGTTTAGCCGACATCACTGCCAAGAGAAAGGCGGTTTTCACAGACACCACTGCCAGCGGGGCGGTAGTCATTGGCTCAAAGGGTGGCCCACACAGGGCCTGCAGGACCAGGGGAAGGTCCCAAGCAGGTGCCGGCCTGCACAAGGCAGGACGCAACCTTCTCATGCCCCGCAGAAACTGGGTCACCAAACAGTGAGCCCCAATGCTCCTGCCATCCACCAAGAGGTGGTTGGCCGAAATAGCCGCCAGGTGAACCTTAAGGGTCGAGGCGGCCCGGCCCTTGTCAAACAGGTGCCGGAGGTACCGCAAAACCTCATGCAGGGAACAAGAACCAGGGTCCACGTCCCTGCCGGAACACCAGGTAGAGAACCGCTGCCAACAGCGAGCATACGTGGCCCTTGTAGACGGAGCCCTGGCACTATCCAGCACCTGCTGGATGGAGGGCTCTAAGCCGACTGGGGGCTGCCTGCCCCCTTCAATGGCCACACCGTGAGCCGAAGATGATCTGGGGACGGATGCCAAATCCTCCCCTCCATCTGACACAGGAGGTCCCGTCTCGCCGGCAACCGCCACGGCTCTCCGTTCAGCAGACTGAGAAGCAATGGAAACCAGAGCCTCATGGGCCAGTCTGGCGCCACCAGAAGGACCTCGTGTGACGAGTCCCTCAACCGATTGAGGGTTGGTAAGAGCAACGGAGAAGGTGGGAAAGCGTACAGCCGAAACAGCCAGGCATTGGCGAGGGCGTCCATCCCCAGAGGGGCGTCGGCCTCTGCCAGGGAGAACCACAAGGGGCAATGCGTGCTGCTCCTCGAGGCGAACAGATCCACCTGGAACTCTCCGAACTGATGCCACACCCTCTGCACCACCTGAGGGTGCAACCTCCATTCCCCCAGGGGAAGACCCCGCCGGGACAGGCAATCCGCCACAGAGTTCTTCCACCCCGGAAGGTGCAGCGCCCTGACGGAGGCCAAGCAAGGGTAAGCCCAGGTCAGCAGCGTCTGAGCCCCCCTCAACGATCGCAATGACCTGGTGCCCCCCTGATGGTTTATGTGGAACACCGCCTAGGTGCTGTCCATTCGGACGAGCACGTGCTTGCCCCGCAGAAAGGGCAAGAAGCGCCTCAGCGCCAAGTAGACGGTCTTCAATTCCAGGACATTGATGTGAAGCCGTGCCTGATGGGGGCTCCACAACCCCTGGACCGACCTGCACTGCCAATGCGCCCCCCACCCCCGGGGTGACGCATCCGTCATGACCACCTCCCGTCTGGCGGGAACCGCGCCAAGCGGGACGCCGAGACTCAGGTAGATGACATCATCCCAATGACGCAAAAGAGCCACACAGCTGCTCGTGACCTCCAGCTCGACCCGTCGGTGTCGCCGGGGATCCAGGTGGAAGCCGTTGAACCACCTCTGCAAGGGCCGAAGGTGGAGCAGCCCGAGAGGCACCAGTGCAGAAGCCGAGACCAGCATCCCCAACAGTCGTAGCCACACTTGGACCGGGGGTGCCACCCCAAGGTGAAAGGCCTGGAGCAAAGACCGAATCCGGACCCTCCTCTGCTCGGTCAGCCTCGCCCGCATGGCCACAGAATCTATGGCAATGCCAATTAAATCCACCCGCTGAGTCGGAACCAGAGAACTCTTCTGCAGGTTCACCGTCATCCCCAGCGCCTCGACGTGGGCAAGGACCCTGGCCATGGCCAGACCCAATTCGCGACACGACGGCGCGCAGACGAGCCAGTCGTCGAGATATGGCAGGACCTTCAACCCCGCCCGACACAGGGGGCTCAGGGCTGCCTTCATGCACTGCGTGAAAACTCGGGGGGCGAGAGACAGGCTGAATGGCAGAACCAGAAACTGGTACACCCTCCCGAGGAAAGAAAACCGCAGGTACTTCCTGCGCCCCGGATGGATCGGGACATGGAAGTATGTGTCCTTGAGATCTATGGTCGTAAACCACTCTCCCGGACAAACCACCTGAAGGACATTGCGAGTCCAAAGCATGTGGAAGGGCAGCACCTTCAGGAACTGATTGAGACCCCCTGAGGTCCAGTACCGGCTGCAGGGGCCAGTCCTTCTTCGGCACCAAGAAATACGTCGAATAAAAGCCGGAACTGCATCCTGTAGCCCTGGGACATGGTTCGAACCACCCAAGCATCTCCGCATTGGGCCTCCCAGAGGGTCAGGTGCTGTGGTGTAAATCTGCCCGCCGCCGGCCCACAGCCCTCATGCCATGTTCCGACGCCTGTTTGGGGCCCTGGGGGGCAGCGGCCCCTGTCCTGCCCCGAGAATCCCCGGGGCGGTGCCTGACCTGCCCCCGAGCGTCTCCCAAGTCCCTGCCGCAGCCGTGGTCTGCTGGGTGACCTGCAAGGGGGCGGCCGGAAGAAACCCGTGCCGAGGGTCCCGTGCCCCTCGTGGCCTGGACTGTGGCACGGGGAGGACCCCTGCCCCGCTACGCCCACTCCAGGCCTCTGCGGCCTGTCTGGACTGCCGCCGACGTTCCAACGCCCTCTCAGCCTCTGGCCCGAACAACTGGCCCGGCACCACGGGCAGACCGCGCAGGCTCTGTCGGCAGTGATCCCACACCGGGGCCTGCACCAACCAGACCTGACGGCGAGCCACTACCAGTGTGCCCAACAACCGACCAAGCTCCCTGGACATCAGCCCAAACGCTTGCAGGGCTGCATCGTTTGTATCGCCCAGTGCCATCCCCGCTGTGCCCGACTGCAGCATCTGGGACTGGGCTAGCAACAGCACCAACAGCGAATTGCTGGTGCGTGCCATCCTTGCCTCGATGTCGTAAGCCCGGCACAGTAAGCTGTCGGTCACCCGACACTGGGTGCTCGGACAGCGGACCCTGTCCCTCAATGCCTCAGCCGGGGAGAGCACCAAAGAGGCAACGCAGTGGTCCACCGGGGGCATGCGGTCCAACCCGTAGGTTCCTGCATCCCGCATCGATGCCAGGGTCCTGGCATCCCTACCATGGTGGGAGAGCTGTCTCGTGTCCCCCCAGCACCGCTGCAGCTCCTCCACAAAGGCCGGCAATGGTGGGACCTGAAACGGGGGCGCCGCCAGAGCCCGGCGGAAGAAGGGAATCCCCGCCGGACGGGCCACCAGCACGTCGTCCAGTCCAATCCTGGCCAGTGCCGCTCGCAGAATCGCCCGCAACTGACAGGGGTCCTCTGCCAGCTCCGAGCTTGCTGAGCTATGGAGGGACATCCCCGAGTCTCCGTGACCTCCCAGGCCTGGGGCCTCCACTACCAGCCCCTGACTACGACCCGGAGAGGGGCCCTTCTCCTCGAGGGACTGAAACTCAGAATTTGAGGCCCTCATAGAGATCAGGTCGTCCGAGCCCCCCTCGTCCGGGGCTCTGGTCAGCAGCGCTTTGAGCTGTTCCACCTCTGCGCGCAAAGTGTCCACTTCCTGGCGAGAGGGGTGCGCAACAGGCCGCTTCTTGCGAATCGGGCTGCCGCGATCCTCATCCAGTCTATCCCTCCGTCTCCCGGAACATGGGCGAGGGATACCAGAGGGCGGCAGGTCTGACTCAAACAGGAGGCACTCTACTTGACGTAGCCTGTCCTCCCGCACCGCCAGCAGCTAAATGCTGCAGTTCATGCATGGGTCAGTCAGCGCCTCTCTGAGGTGACCGACGCACAGGCACTTAGGACAAGTCGTGGCCGTCCTCCACCTGGAGGGGAGCCCCACATGACGTACATGCTATCATCCCTACCGGTGTGGGAGACGCCAGCGACTCCACAGGAACTGAGCGAGGACTTCGAGGAAAACTGAAGAACGCGATTCAGTCCTGGAGTTGTAAAACAACACACGTGTGTGTGTCGGCTGGGTAATCTGAGCGTGCCACCTCCACGGTCAGAACGTCCAGCCCCACTTACCTGTAGCGTTGTAAAACAACACACATGCGTGTGTCAGCTGGGTAATCTGAGCGTGCCACCACCATGGTCAGAACGTCCAGCCCCACTTACCTGTAGCGCTCGCCGGCCGCACCCACCTCCCCTTTCCACAGGGGAAAACCTGCGACCGCCAGCGAGCCGTATCCGAGCCGGCAGCGGCGGCGAACGGCGCCGGCCGCACCGCCCGCTCTCGGTAACAAATGACAGATAGCCCCACTGCCCCAGAGGGCTCCTTTGAGCGCTCCGACCACACGGTCCCGAGCAGGAAGACGCCAAGTAGAAAAAGTACTCACCTCTCGACCGATAAGATCCGAATCACGGACTTACGGAGCGATTGACCAGCAAAGCACGCCAGGCCAACAGCGAGAAGATCAAAGAGACCAGAACGTAGCTATCGGCGCGTAATTTATAGACTCGCGACCAGGTGCGTTACGTGTCACGTGCGTGACTTTGTTTACATTAGTACTCGACCTGCGCAGAGCGCGAGGAGATACATCCACTCTGTTTACTGCCACTGGCAGTCAGGAGGGAGCGAAACAGAACTCATGTTAGGGAAAAAGTTATTCTGACTGATGCCTTCAGCGCTGCACAAAGGTTACAGAAATGTTAAAAATATTGTTTACCTCGACTTTTGTAAAGTTTCCAGTGTCACCGGGCAGCAGCAGCAGAGACGATCTCTGAAAAATGTCTGCCACACAGACTCCGTAGTTTTATGGAAGGTTTATTTTATTTTTTACAAGAAAAGAGGCGGACGTGTTTCCTAAATCCTGCATTAGTCCAAGCAAGGCAATTTCTTTCTGTTTTTATTCTGTTTTGGTAGCCATTAGCAGAGCACCATGTTGTGTGCGTCAGTGATATTCGGTCTGCGAGGAAAGCATGCAATGACAAAGTTTCCGCCTTGCTTGAAATGCAAGCTGTGATTAAATGCATGAATTTTTTTAACGCGTCACTTTTTTCTAATTAATTAATCATAATTAACGCGGTAAAGTCCCTCCCCTAAAAAAACCTTTCCTGTGTTAAAAAAATACTTCAAATGTAGTCAGTGTATTTTTTCAGGCCTCATCAACAATTAACAGGGATTTTAGAGCATGAAATGAGATGATGATGATGATGATGATGATGATGATGACGATAATCCTACCTCTCCAGTAAGCTGGGCATAAATCAGTGACCTCTGACCCTGAAACATTGTTGTGATGGGAGGAGAGAGGATGGTAGCGGACACTCCCTTTGGTAAATCCCATGCGACAGAAATCTCCTCCACGGATGGCTGCAGTGCAAACTTCAGTGACTGCATCACCTGGTTGTTAAAAATAAGTAAATAAATACATCACATCCTTGGTCCAACATAATCTGTTGGTACATATGGAGTTATATTTGTTTACTTTTGGTTGCATCCTGTCAGTCCCAGTGATAAACTGAGCATGACCTCCTCCTGCCTTGGCTATCCCATTAATAAGAGCAGAGCTGGCTCCTTCTCCAATCCCAAATGAGAAACATCTAAAATCCCATAGTTTGTTCATTACAACACGCAGCAGCAGGTCATGACACCAACTATGAGTCAGTGTTTCTGTGGTGTTACCTGTGGGAGCCTGCATTCTTCTTCACATGATCAATCACTTCTTTGGTGTTCCCCACCTCTCCGTCAGTGAAGACAAACAGCTAAGGGACGAGACGTTATTCAAAAGTTAAACAAAGTCCTACCCAGAAATGTGAAGAAAATCCATCAGTGTGTCAGAATGAGAGGTGTGTAACTCTGGTGATTTAGTAACAACTATGTTGGTAAAGTTCAGGAAGAAAAATCTAATCTATGACAAATACGAGTTTTAAAACCGGTTCATGCAACATTTTCACAAAGGGTGTGAGTGGATCAGGAGTTGATGTCCATTTTAACCACATTTTAAAGACTGATTTTCTAAAGGGAGTTAAAGGGTTTGTTAAACTTCCAGTTGGTGTAATTTATATATTAGAATTACTCACTTGTCTAGGCTGTTTGGGAATGCAGGGCTGGCTGTAAATGTGTTGAAGAGGTTGAAGGATCTCTGTTCCTCCCAGATTAGAATCCATCACCTCCACTTTTTTCACAGCCTCCTCCATGGTCTTCTCGTTGTACTCTACACTCTTACTGTTATCACATACAAAACAGTATTATATCCTTTCGACAGTTATGAGAACTTCCTAATGAATTTGTGTTCATTCATCTCTTAGAACATCCTCCCTGGGGTGCCACCCTATCATGGTGGAGGGGTTTGAGTGTCCCAATGATCCTACAAGCTAAGCTGTGAGGCTTTATGCCTCTGGTGGGGTCACCCATAGCAAGCAGCCCAAAGACCTCTAATGACAGTGAACGGACACGAGCACCTTGGTATGCACAGGTGGGATTTATCATCAGACGATTGCGGAGGAATGTGTGTACATGAGGCCACCGCATGTTAAATAAATAAATAAAGAGAATATTAGGACAGTTTCTACCAACGTTTGGTAAAAGAGGGCCCTGGAGATGTGTGGTTGGGAGAAATGCCCCCCCTGATCTGACTCCAAGCAGTGTTTTGTTATTGAACCTCTGAGCTTTCGTGGATCGTCCATAATGAACACCATGTTCAGGCATGTCCACATGTGCTCTTCAAACCAGGGGCCTCATTCATTAAACGTTCGTAGAAATATTTCTAAATTTCTTCCAATGAACAAAATTTAGAATGTTTGTACGAACAGTCAAAATCCTGATTTAAGAAACATACGGTAGCCTCTCGTACGCATGATCCTCCACATTACCAACACTGCTTATAGTGGGGACGGTGTGCTGCTGACTTTGATTCAGGTCGTTGTGGGTTGGTGAGCGGAGTACTGCAAAGACCTCCTTAATCCCACCGGCACAGCTTCCAATGAGGAAGCAGAGTCTTAGGACTTTGGGTTGGGCTCTCCAAACACTGGTTCTGAGGTCATTGAGGTGGTTAAAATGCTCATTGATGGCAGAGCCTGAGTAGTGGATGACATTTGTTCAAAATTTCTCAAGGTTCTGGATGTGGTGCTGTTGGTTGACACGGCTCTGCAATATCGAGTGGACGTTGGGGCAGCTACACTGGATTGGCAGACTGGGGTGGTGGTCCCTCTATTTAAAAAGGGGGACCACAGGGTGTGTTCCATCTACGGGGGATCACAGTCCTGAGCCTCCCTATTCAGGGATAGGGTCCCTTGGAAAGCTTGGTGGGGGGGTATTCTGAGAGTATGGGGTACCAGGCTCCCTGATATGGGGTGTTAACTCCTGTATGATTGGTATCAAGAGCTTGGTCCACATTACCAGCAATGAGTTGGGTTCATTTCCAGCGAAAGTTCGACTCCACCAAGGCTGCTCTTTGTCATCAATTCTGTTCACAACTTTTATGGACAGGATTGTTGTATTGCCTTGGCCTCAAATGCCTTTAAGCAGCTCTGGGTGTGTGACTGAGTTTTGAAGGTGATTTGAACTGTATCAGATGTATAAATACTAAATGCATACAAGGTATTGTTTTATTCAGGTAAAAACGTGTAGTGAAGATAAATCTTCCTACATTTTACTTTTCAAACACTTTGCTTTGTTTTCTTGTTTCATGACTATGCCCCCCCCCCCCCCCCCCCCCAAAATTATTAGATCCATGCTCCTGGGGACGAAAAAACAGATATTTTGATCAAAGTAGTAACTCCGCCAGACACTCCGGACAGAGGGTGAAAAGTGAACATGTCCGGAGAAAAGAGAAGCCATCTGAGATCTACAGCGTTGGGGCTGCAAGGCAGCGGAGTGGACGGAACATCACCATGGCAACGCTTCCGGCTTCTGAGATAACAACGTTTCTTTTAATTATTTGGATTGTTTGAAACCATAGACATACCACGATATGACTGAATAAGTCACCTTAGACTTCCCAACAAATCTGATGTGGTCATCATCAACTGATAAAAACAACTGAAACACATTTAGTCTGCAGTGTGGAAGGACAGAATCACTCACGGGAAGATGTGTTCAAAGCTGGACCCAAAGCTGTAGATGTTGAAGTAGCAGCCCATAGGTAAACTCTTCAGCAGGAGCAGCAGAGTGTCCTAAAGAGGAACAGAAAACATCACAATCAACATCCAAGACACATGAAAATGTTTATATTTTACAGATAACCCTCAGATAAATACCCTTGCACTAGTTATGCGAGTTTCTTGTGGATTGCTGTTATTGATGGGACAGCTCATACTCCCAGATCGATCCATCAGGAACACAAACTCTCCACTGGAGGCGAGTGAGGACATCACAGACTGAGGGAACTCAGGGTACAGGCTCACCATCACCACTGGATCACCCATCAGTGAGCCTGGAACAGGACAGAATATCAACATAAATCCCATAAAATCCATTTATTTCACAAATACACAAAAAACACTAGTTTTGATGTGTGAGCTCACCAGGTTGAGCAGAGGCCTGTCCTGCCTCCACCACAGCAGTGGGCTGGTGGGCGTCTTTGTAATAAATCAGCACTTCAACGTCTCTGTCAAACTTGTGTCCTGCAGCCAACTTAAGCTACAGTTCAAACACACACACACACACACACACACACACACACACACACACACACACACAAATAAAGTTGTTCATCTTGTTAGGAACAACCACACCCAGCAGTAACATCAGCTCTCTACCCACCGTGGCCTGTGTTTGATCACTGTTCAGGTACTGAAGAGGCTCCAGGGAACAGCTGGACTCCACTTTACAGATTGGACGAGGAGAGGACACTTGGACAGAAAAGGACAGACTGTAGGGCACCAGAGAGGCTGGAACTGAGCTCACCTGGACCCTGGGGCCTTCACTACCTGGAAACAACATGACGGACAACAGGGAGTCACCTGGTGTTGGTTTGATCTGGAGACTTTGTCAGGTTGGTGGGTTCTAACGGGACGTGTGTCTCCTTCTTCCATCAGCTGCTTCTCCTACCCCGAGGTTGGTAGCGAGGGTTGAGCACAGCAGGCAGACAGAACCTCAGCCCATCATCAGCCTGCACAGCCAGCTCAGTGACATACTCCAGCCTGATGGAGGCGCTCTCTCCTGGAGGCAGACTGCCCACACTCAGAGAGAATATATCTGGACTCTGCTCACTCTCCTCCAGTAGGAAGGCCTGCTGACCGGAGCTCAGTGCATCGTCATACTCCTCCCGAGCCTGCAGTCCACATGAAACGTGTCAGTAATGTTCTCTTAACTGTGTTTCAGCTCCGCTCTAGAGGAACTGTGTCCAGCTCACCTGCTGTTTCTCCTTCACCTCAGCTACAATGTGTGTCTGTCCAATCTGAGCACTGAAATGACACACAGCAGCATCTCCAGGCAGAGGGAAGACAAAGACAGCCTCTAGTGGTTTGTCTTCCTGGTTCTTGTAGTTCAGAGTGGAGACCACTGTAGCTACATGGTCCCTCACCTCCAGGTCCACCTCGATGCTCTTTAGAGGAACTGAAACAGGATTAATTAGAACATTACAGACATGTATAAACAAGCAGTGATTAGGTTACTGTTTAGAACTGCGACACACAAGATGATACTGACGGAATTGTGTTTGTCAGACAAACTAATCCATAAAGAAGGACAAGAACGAACAAAGGCTACAGATAACGTTGTTAGTTTTTAAACAGCTTTTTACCTGGTTCCTTCTGAATAGTAACCAGACCACAGTTCGCCATTGTACCTGCAAAACAAGATTTGTGTGGTTTTATTTATTAGGAATAAATTACAGTTGGGGAGGCGATAGTATACAAGTACTTTAAAGGCCACTTATGTCCGTATGTAACCGATACTTGCTGTTACCAACAGTTTTACAGCTGAAAATATAAAATAATATGTTTAGGAGCCGATTTCAGCTTTACTAAAGCAGTCCTCGGCTTTCAAACAAGTCCAACATAAAGTAGCTTACCTGGGAAGACAGTTCCTTAGATTGACGGATGTTTGTTTCACCGCAGGTTTGTTTTATCTGACTGACTTGTGCGCAGCTTTCTGCTTGTTAAACAGGGTAGGCGTCGGCTGAACATTGGGTTACCGGGTATGTTAGATTTAGTTGTGGACGCGCGCCGGGCGGGCGGGACCTCGAGGTTTTTTTTTTGTTTGTTTGTTTGTTTTGTTTTGTTGTTATTGAAATTATTCACAAATAAACATATCACATTTGGTAAACAACCACAAAGTGAATCTTGAAATAGAATAATGCATAAAATGAAAGACAGGCTGGGAGAAAAAGATAGAAAGATAAGAAAATATGCTAGATCCGTCAGATAATTACGGTAAAACAATATTGATTTTCCATCTGAATCATCAGAATGGTTGACATTGAAATCTTGATGTAAACTAGATGTTGAATAAATGTTGCAAAACTCATGAATCCTGACAGAAACAGCATGGTATTGTAAATGTAGGTGAAAATGCATTGATCTGTAGTTGTGTTGAAATTTCGATGTTTTAATATTTAGGTTAATTGAAATACAATTGTAAAGGCATTGGTTTAGCAATCTGAGAAACTGGCATTTAGAAAATGTCATTAGCCACAAACAAATAAACGAACCCATGTATACGGAGTCTCTTGGTTTCTCCAGATCTGATGCCGCTTCCTTAGAAAAATACAGCACAGTAAACAGACTCATGAAATAATCTACATTATTTATATATTTAATATGTTTTATTTGTTCGGGGAAATTTTATTTATTTTATTTTGAAAAGCTGTGGTAGAAGGCTGCGATTCCGCCACGGCCACAAACTGGAAAAGTGAGTACAGTCATCTTACTGCAATGCATTGTGGGTAATGTGCAGAAAATCACACTTGTGAAGTTTTAATGACATCATAACTTATTACAGCACATGCTGAGTTTCATTTGTTACAAGTAGGAAATCACACAAGAGACAGAGTTAATTGAAATGTAGGTATTCTTTACATTAATGTAGGGTAACCATTTATTATAGAAGGGATATGTTTTGGCATAGTTAGTCTTGAAGGTGAGACTGTTAAAAAAATAAAAACTCAGCCCCAGAGCTTCTTGCTTCACGCTGCTACCCAACGGTGCATTTCCTGCTTCTACACACTCCGACACACACGTAGCTGGAGAAGATGGGAAAAAAAACGTGGATCATAAGAATTAAAACACGGATTAATTTAATCACACATTTTTAAGCTGCAGCTCAATGATCACTACTGTTCTGATCTTGGATCCATGATGCAGCCCTCCCAGCCAGAAGCTCCCACTCCACCTTTGCATCCACCTTGAAACCATGAGGCCAGATCAGAGCTAGAACGGTGGCGAACGCTTCCTTGTTGACCTGATTCATAAAATGAAGCTGCATGTCGGAACTTAAACCTCTACATGACAAAATGCACCACTCCAACTCTCACAAATGCGTGTGGGTTGAAATCCAACAAAACTTTGAAAATGGACATTTATTCAGATGGTGGTGCAACTTGGTGGATTAACGTGACTTGTAATTACAAAGAGTTTCAAAATGCAACAATCAAATGTGATTTAGTTTCACTAAATGCCAGTGTGTTTTCAAAATTTATTTCTAACCTGCAATGCAATCAGTTTGAACCGTATTGTGTTAACAACCCACCGATGCAGGTTTTGACTTCTCCGCCTTCTCACTGGTCTTTCCCAGCACAGCAGCCAGCTCTGCATCCAGCAGCCAGAAGCCTTCTGGAGGGACACCAGCTGCAGCAGAGGATCTCTACTGGGCTGAGGCACAGCAGCTTTATTCTCTGAATCACACAAAGATGAGAAATAAAGTATGAACAAATAACACTGTTGGAGAAATTATAATAAAAACACAAATCTTACTTTATTATTGTAACGTTACGAAATGGGCTGATTTTGAGATCCCACAGGTCAAATGCACAGCCAGGTCAACTTACCGGTACCCTGGCTATGACACTTCCTACAATCTTTTCCCCTAACAGGAGACTCGAAGTCTGCATGTAGTCCCTTTAATCAGCGCCTACTTCCTCACACCAGCTGGACTGCAGAGACAATAAATGATAAACAATAAACATTTTCTCCTCCAAAATCCCTCACAGAGAAATAAACTCCTTTATTCCCAGATGGAAGAAGAAAAGAAGATTTTATAATTAAAAATAATCATTAAAGTAACTTGTTATTGCTAATTATAAATAATGAAATGTTTCATCGATTTGTGTTTAATGACGTATGATTAGTAAGTTTACTTGACGAGGTCAGAACATTTGCACTCACAAGTAAAGTTAAGTTAATGCATGACACATAAGTTAACCTTTTGCCTGGATTCGGAGTCTCCATTGAAGAGGGTGTGTTCTGAGATGCTTGGTAACATCCTCAACGTGCCAACTTCTGGCTGGCTATTCAAGATAACATCAATCCGTTAAACTAGTTTTACTCTGGTTTTTCCCTGAGTTCAACTTCAGACAAAACCATTGCATAACCTCTCTAACCACAAGGATTTTGACACGTTGTCAAAACCTTAAACCTTTTTTGCACCTGCGAAGCTGAAACAACAAGATAGTTTCCTGCAGAACAAAGCTGACTCAAAACTCCTTCAGAGTTATTTTTAAGACGCTCGGTTTCATCTATCGTTGTGACCCGGAGACATCTGAGGACTGATTTGGTCGCATCGAGGTTTCTCTACGAACCAGGTGCATTAGGGTCGTCGGCTCCTGGAAATCTCGGATCCAAACGGGGGTCTCCAAATGGGTGAGGTAGAGCACAGCGAGATAGCGTCTGCATGTGGTTTTGATAATAACAACTTATAGCTTAACGCAAACTAAATTCTTTTATATCCAGAACTCAGCTCTGAGAGCGGAGATTCTGAATACATTATATTCACACATAGGTTCCAGACTATCCTTTAGCATGCATCCACTCACAGTAAATAATAGTTTAAACAATTTGTCAAGTCTTAAGTGTTTGTAAATAAATTCTTACTTTGTTTATAAACCTGACTGTTTCTTGAATCAAAGCGAAGTGTGCACAATCCCTTAATAATTAAAATAATCCTAGGATCTTCTAATTAATCATCCTAACACCAAGCAGGGGATAATCTATATTTATATAGATTATCACAGCTATTGGTCCCAAGTAGTGGTAATAATATAAATAGCTTTTCAAGCAATTTACTTAAAGCAATTTACCCTCTATTATCATTACATTATTATTGTTGTTATTTTTTCATTATCCAAACTCCCATGTGTTTCTATGTAACTTTAATTTACTCAGTAACTAAAGTACAATTCTTTAAAAAAAACATACAAAGCATCAACGTTCTCATTATAAAAGTGTACAACCACACTCCCAACGGGTGAGACGCGGTACTCATGCAGGTGCCTCCTCCTGTTCCGCCACTGCAAAGCATAACATTTTTAAATGTTTAGGGATAACAATATTAACAGCAGGTTTATTCAGAAAAATCAAAACTTTGAGGCAAAGAAAAACTATTGAACTGATAATAGAAAATCTGCTAGCTGCTAACAAGAGGTTTGTGGTATTATGTTTGTAGGTTCTGCCCATGGACCTTAAACCTTTGTTTTAAAGCAACACAAAAGCAGCTTCTAGTCAGAAGGAAATATTTTCACAAGAGATCCTCAAAACCTTGCATTCTACTTTCAGTTGTGTCTAATTATTCACAGGACTCACAAGTTTTCCCAAAGCCAAACAGCATCTTTATTCCAAAGAATATTCCTGAGGAAGATTTCAGTTTGTGGGTGGTAACTGCTGAGGAATGAGAGAACAGCAGAGCCACAAGATAAATATTTATGTGTAAAATATTATCAAATGAACAAGAAGTTACTCTTAGTTTTGTTCAAATTTGTATTGATCATAAAATTCATCTATATGTGACAGGATACATTTTATGTTAGAAACACAGAAACAAGGTTGGGTAAAATAAGCATGCAACGTGACGTACTTCGTAAGATTACTCACTACAGGCTGTAGAAGAATCACTGGGTTTAATATCCAGACCTAAAGGGACTTTTTTACATATTTCAAATAAAAACATACATTTTGCTGTATTTATTCAGATGGACATCTTATTATTCTATTTAGCTGTACTTACAATATTGCTTGAGATAATGGACCCCTTTGTGAAAAAGAAATAAAGACAGTATTAACAAGTGAACAGATCTCAGTTAAATTATTGCACAAGCTGTATTGACTTGGTTTAAACGTTGGTAAATGGTAAATGGTAAATGGCCTGTATTTGATGTAGCGCCTTCTAGAGTCCTGGAACCCCCCAAGGCGCTTTACAACACAATCAGCCATTCACCCATTTGCACTCACATTCACACACTGGTGGGGATGAGCTACAATGTAGCCACAGCTGCCCTGGGGCGCACTGACAGAGGCGAGGCTGCCGAGCACTGGCGCCACCGGTCCCTCCGACCACCACCAGCAGGCAACGTGGGTTAAGTGTCTTGCCCAAGGACACAACGACAGCGACAGACTGAGCGGGGCTCGAACCTGCAACCTTCCGATTGCGGGGCGAGCACTTAACTCCTGTGCCACCGTCGCCCCAAGAGTTAAATTTACATTACATTTACAGAGCTTACAGATTTCTTTTTTAATTTTTGTCACACTTGTAATATTAATTCATATTTATACTAACATTTGAGATCAGCACACATATTCAGCAAATTACCATGTTACCAAGAAGCTGTGTGCGGATGTACAGGTTCAAGCAAATGGTAATCATTGTGGTCAAGTACATTTCACATTAAAACAAAGCTGCCTTATGTACCTAGGTTGTTTTCTTGCTTGTGAGTTTTTCTCTCATTATTTTGTTCTATTTCAGGGGGTTAATCTGTTTTCCTACTTGAACCAACACACCACTGTTTGTTTTACAAAAAATTGCATTAAGACTCATCAACAGTAACTGATCACTCTAATCCATTATTTATACAATATAAAATGCTTAAATTTTATGATTTCAATTCAGTTCAATTCAAAAATACTTCATTAATCCCAGAGAAAATTTTGAGTTTCAGTACACACAATTCTGAGACATACATACATACATACATGACAAGAATTGGTGACTGTGGTCAAT